TGTAATATATCCCAAACACATAAATATGTATTCAAAATACATATGCCAAGCAAATTTATGGATCAAAATTATGTGCTAAAATGTTTATCAAAATTTCTAAAATTTTGAAACAAGCTCGAAGCTTTATTTCGTTCATTAAATATTTCAAAAATATTTAAGAGTCATTTGACAATAGTTATTAGTTTGAAATATACCTCAAAGGTTAATTTCAATTTTAGAGATTTTTCAGAAATTTAAAACAAGTAAAATACCAATTATTTCAACTTTTTCAAAATTCTGAAATTTGTATATAGCCAAACAGGCCTTAGAATTTTCAGAAATCACAAATTGACCCAAGGGCCAAATTGTTGTTTTTAAACCTTTTTCCGAAAATCGCAGAATTGCCCCAACAAGTTTCAAAAACCAGAAAAGACCCCAGGTCTACTTTTGAATTTGCAGATTGACCCCTGGGGTCAATTTGCAATAAATGAAAACTTCTGAAAATTGCAAACCAGCCCTTTACTTTAATCAAATTTTCGAAATCAAGGCCCCAGCCCTAATTTCGTTTCTCCCGTCAGTTCAACCTTGCCCGCCGCCATCTCGCGTCCTACGCCCGGCTGCGCATCCCCAGGAACTCGTGAACCCGCCGGAGACCTCCTTTGGCCGGTCAAACCGCCGTTTCAGTCGGCCTCCCTTCTTCCCTTTTTTTTTTTTAATATGCGTCCGCCATTAATGGCAGACCTTCGAGCTCCAAGCTCGGTTTTCCGAGAAACCAGTGAAAAAAAGACTCGCTTTACGCCTCCAGGCGTTAATCGCAGCAACCCTAGGTCGCCGGCGACGAGAGCCGTCAACAATCGCGCGACGGCGCTGATTCCCAGATTCTTTTTTTTTTTTATAGCAGCCGCCCAGCGGCAGCGGCTCTTGGCCGCGCGAATTCCGGCGGCTAGCCCGACAACGCCTATCGCCGGCAGCGGGAAGGGAGATGATGAGCGATGGCTAACAGCGACAGGGATTCCAAACCCCAGTTGCAGGTCCGAACGCGAAGGAACAAAACTATACAAGTTGTTTGGGAATCAAATTCACAGATTTTACAAACAGAACAAAACGAAACAATTCCAATTGTTAGTTTCAAACGACGAACCAATTCCCAGATTTGGTGAACATCAATTCCCAGAATTTTACAATCACATCCAAATATTCACGAACGAACAGAACCAAGAACATCATGAAAATTAATTCAAAATTAATTATCTTAACATGATTAACAAATATTTTGATCCATGTAAATCCAATTTAAAATCAAATAGCTATGAACACCGACCCAGTTCTCTGATACCACTGTTGGATTTTTGTCGTACAAATTAATCGCACACGCAGCGGAATTTTAAAATTTTCTTACCAACAAGAAGATCCGGTTATAGCTATTCGACATGATCCTAGATCGCGTGAATGATCAACGAAAACTTACCGTTGTTCGTCTATGTCCTCAACTATGGTATCCACACAATCCAGTTTCCCGATGCACGATCCAACGCCAATGAATCCCTTCTGGTGAAGACG